GGATGTACTGGATGAGGAAGCCCTAATCCTCAGACGAGCATTTAGTCATGAAAGAGTCTTCTGGGACAGGTCAGACCCATTGGCTGTTGGAGAGGACTATCTCATTGAGAGATACAGATTCTCAGGTGATGGACTAAGATATTTATGTAGGCTGCTGGGTCCAAAAACACAGCACCAGACAGCAGGAAGCCATGCTCTCACTGTACCACAGATGGTCTGTGTTACATTGAGATGTTCTGCAAGTGGGAGCTTCCTTTATTCTGTTTGGGATGCAGAGAACCTCAATAAAGGAACCATTTGCCGCACATATCCTGGCTTGGTGGGCCACCCCCTGTGCCAGTTCTATGGGCTTTTTTTAAACTGCTACAATCATACAGACATTCAACATGTCAGCAGACACCTAATCTATTCACCTCATTTATTCACTGTTATCTACTTTAAAGTCACTGACCAGCCTGCTAAATGTTCTTGTATTTAACTTTAACTTGCTGCCAGATCCTTTTATGGCCAGACAAGTTTGTTCTTTATGAAGGATAGAACGATAAAATAGATAAAAATAGATTAAATGACACACATTGTGGATAATTGTTTGCACTTAATCATACTTTACATTTTCTGAGTAACATGAACCTCTACTTTCCACATTTAAAGCAAAGTGTACAACAGTTGATTAGTGGACTTAAAGTAACTCCTTTAGTCCTTTAATTGGAGCCTAATGATGACAGTTCCAGTGGAGCACTGTTTATTCATTGTACAGTTTTGGACTACTTAAGCATTAAGCCGGTCCGCTATTGTCAGCCAGGCTTTCTCTCTTTCTTTAATTATGGCATTGGTATTGCCTTTTTTTCTTATATCTTCCACCTCTTCATAGAACTCCATCAGGAGCTGTTGTTCAGCGGCCGTGAGATATGAAGTGAGACTCTTATCCATGTTCCCATCGGTGATTCTGTGAGCGATCACGAGGTCTATTTCAGTATGCCGTGAACACGCACTTATCCCGACTATCTACACCTGGCTTAACATAGCACCTTTTAATCCTGGCTCGGCAAACGTGCAACCGATTAAGCCAGGATGTACCGAGCAGGCTAGGTCAAACCGCGCTTGCTCAATTATCCTGGATGTCTTTATTCTAGTTTTGTGCAATACCCCTCTGATGAACTAACTCATCAGGTTTTACAGTGAACTCAAGTAAACAAACAACTGCTACTGCTGCAGAGGACATAAACAAACAAATAAATAATAATAAAAAACAAACAGAACTTTATTTATTTCTGTCTCAACGACAGAAACCAGAGAAGTTAAAATATATATATATATATATATATATATATAGAATGTAGTGCTAAAGTACTGAAGTAACAATACAATAAATAATAAAAACAAATATTATACAGATATAACAGAAAAATGTAAAGACTATAATTAAGATATATACTGGGTGCTGTGGTTCTGGAGGTTGGAGGTACTGGGAGCTGTGGTTGTGGAGGCTGATGGTACAAACGAGCCCCCAATCCGCTTTGAGGATTCATACCCCAGCAGAGAAGATGACACTTGCCACCACAGACTGGTAGAACATCTGCAGTATCCTAGTGCAGACATTGAAGAACCTGAGTAGCCTGCTCTGTTCTTTCCTGTGGAAAGTGTCTTGATCAGAAAGAAAGAAAATACTACGTTATAATTTCATAACATAGTTGTAATAAGTTATAATTTGCAGTGTTGATCAATATTTTAAGATTTAACAGTGAAATACAATTAAACTGTTTAACTGTGTGTACTTATAATGATGTACCTCTGTGTCTTTAATAACTGAATCGATTGTTATACAAAGGAAGTGTAAGCACATTATTAAGCTGATATTATACCTGTGCTGTATATTAATAGCCCCTTTATGACCTTTAAATTACACAGCTGTATATATTGCTCTTATAGTTATTACAGCGTGCCACTACCTCCTGCTGTGACCTGCGCAGGGCTCCATATCTTATTGTGCTATTTCTATTATTTACTGTATTTTTCTCTTCTGTTTTTATTCAATGTGTATTTTATGATCTATCGGTCGTATCTGGAGCTGCAGGAACAAGTTATCTGATTTCTGATCTTATCGTCTACATTAAAATTATTAATAAAAACGACTATAAAGGGACATTATTTATCTGTCTGTCTTTAACAACTGAATTGATTTTTATTACAGGTTCATTACACTGTGGTGTCCAGCAGAGAGCAGCACATACCTACATTACTGAACCTAAAGCACGAGGCGCTCTGCTGTCGGACCCAGAGCAGGAGATGTGACGTGTGGATTGTGGAGGAGTTCAGATGCTCAAAAATTGGAATAAGACTTTTTTCTTCCTCCATTTATTGTCCTGATAATTATTGTGCATCCCTAGTCATTTGCAATGTAATCCATTACTTTTGCTGCTGAGTAATTGATTATCGTTCTCAAGGGACTGCCTGGTAGCAGTCCAGTATGGAAGCCTGTTTCTGCCAGTATGATATGATG